CTATATCTTATGTAGGCTGTGCGCAGTTAAGCCCAAGATCAATGGGCCTTCGTCGACCCAAAAGGCCACAAGTGAGGAGGGCAAGCAAGGGCTTTTCAGCCCAAAATGTATCGCACAATATAGATTGTCATGAATATTAAGGTTTTAATAATCAATGTTATTATTATGTTGATTAGAATGGAACACTATGGATTAAGGTTTGGGATATGCCCGTTCAGCCGAAGTTTAAGTTTTTTGTGTGGGAGCTCTTGAGGCGGATCTTGCCCACGATGGAGGCATTGCGTGAGAAAAAGTTGCAGGTCTTTGTGCGGTGTCCGATGTGTTGGGCACCAGAGGAGCCCACTGAACATCTCTTTTTGCATTGTCCGATTGCGAGAGGATTGTGGGAGAATGCAGGGCTTGCTACCGAGCTAGATGTTTTGCCGATGGGGTGTTTTAACATATTTTCAGGCGATTTCTGGATCGAGATGCGTCCCAAATGCGTGTTGTGCGGTTGATGTGCTTATTGTGGAGAATATGGAAGGGGAGGAACTTCGTTGTCTTTGAGGGACAACAGACTCTCCCAAGTATTCTCCGGCAGGAGTTTCTACATCAAGTTTCTGAGTGGGAACAACTTCCCTATGGGGATGGGAATGGTGTGGGTGAGCCCTCGGTAGGTCTTGGCGTTGATCATGTTGTTGTGGTTGATGGTCCTTTTGGCGGTGTGATATGTTCCTTTGATGGGGCAGTCCGTGAGGGGTCCCATGCGGCAGGTGGAGTGGTCTTAAGAGATGAGGGTGGTGCGGTGGTTGCGGCACAAGGGTTGATGTTTCCCGGTCTTCAGAATCCGATGCTTGTTGAATTATCAACTTTACGACGCGATTAGGTGGTGTCAACATCGTGGCGTAGAGGTCGTAACGATTGAGGTAGACACCAAGATTGTGATTGACAAGGTTAACGCCGGGGATGTTCGTGCTGCTGTAGGTGAAGCTCTGTTTGAGGAAATTCACCATCTTCTTTCGATGTCCCCAGGGTTTAGGGTTCAATTTGTGGGTAGATAGAATAATAGGGTAGCCCATATGATGGATAAGAAGGCCCTTTCTTTGTTTCCTGCGGGTTGTATTGAGTTTCATTTCCGTGCGTGACTTTGGTCACAATCCTTGTAACTTTGTGTTCTTGTTTGATGCAAGCTATTTTTTCGGGGAAAAATGTTGATTAGAATGCTTAAACTCCATAAAGTTCTACGCTTTCTTATCATTCTACGTTACCTTTGTGCATTATTATATCGTAGTCTATACACTAAAGTAAATTTCTCAAATTTGTGCATTAATAGAACCATTCTTATGTTTTCATAAAATATTTAATTATGGGAGTTTATTTATATAGAGGTTTATTAGAGGTTTGAGTGTCAATCCACATCATATAAAGATGTCATGATATAGAAGGGGGAAAACATGACAAATATGACCAAATTACAATATATGGTGAAAAAGGCCCATACATAGTATATTCCAATTTCATCACAAGAAAATAGATGAAAATACTGCGGTAAATTTTGACTAGGGTAAAAGGTTTTCTCATAACATATATTGAATAATCTCAAGACAATTCGACCTGTTTTGACTTATACAGTCCAACCTGATTCAAGTTGATCTCGTCGTCCATAATGATCTCTATAATCACAACCCTTATAGTAGCAAACGCGAATCTAATTAAAAAAATTGTGTGTTTATCAAATTCACAGTTCACCTGATCGACTTGTTGGTCTCACTTTCTGCTTATAATTACTCGATTTTTAATATAAACTCGATCCAGAATAGTCAGTTTAACTCGAGTCTTGTTAATATATGAACACTTTCCACAACCAATGACCAGATTCATTGCCCCATCATCACGGTGATCTCGTAATGGTGACTGTTAATCCCCCCTTGGCAAAATTACCACAATTAACTAAGCTTACCTTAAACCTTCTTTCCTCCTTCCATAATCACACTTACCTTTCTCTCCCTCTCCTTCTTTCCTTCTTCCCTCTCCCATCTCATCCTTAAACTACAAACTGTACCATTCACCAAAGCCTTCTTCATAAACACCACCAAAAGGAAGCACAAAAAAAGGGTCATTAATGGAGAAGTCCATCAATGACACCTCTCCTTCTTCTTCTTCTTCCTATTCTCCATCTCCATCTTCTTCATACTCAATCCCAATCCTCTGCTCAACCTTCCTCTTCTTCCTCCTTCTCTGCCTCTCCACCTTAAACTCACCAATAACCAACTCCCTAATCTCATTCCCTTGTTGCACTAGTTCATCACCTTCTCCTTCCCAAAACCAAACTCTCACCAACAAACCTATACAAATTTTTTAGTTCACGTTGACACATAGGGGGATGCATACATTTGATGATTATAGAGAAGTTGATGAATTTTCCGATTCAATTATACATGATCATTCACGATTGTAGTAGCGATTCAATCTTTATATTTGTTTATTTCTTGTGTTCGACAATAGAAGTTTGTAGATGTTTCTTATTCAACATTATTTAGACATTTTTCTGACAAGTGAAAGAGCGAGGGGTTAGGAAGATTGGTCTTTGGGACGCACAATAAACACTGTGTTGAGATATAGCTGGAACATACACAGTAGCATAGTCTGAAATCTAAATGAAGGAAGTTGATTTGAACCGTGGTAAATGGTAATTGGGGAGGGGGCTAATTAAGTTTTTACTGACTACTCTATTTCTTAAGTTTGTTACGAATTTTGTATGTAATTTTTACTTATACTTCAAAATTGAGAGGGGGTCGAGGCCTTACCATTGCTCTATTAGTCTATTTCGTAAAATTTTACATACAAATTTGTGATATGACATGCAAAGTGTTGGATGATACAAGTTTGTATAAATTTCAACTACCCTTTTGCTAAACTTTTACGTGTAATTGTATCGACAACTCTATTTATGCTCCCTCCTCGTTTTAACCTAACTTCGTCACTAAATCTACATGTCGAAGTCTGAATCCGAAACTCTGGTCGTTTGGTTTTGATAATTATAATTTGGTGGGGATAGTTACAATACATGCATTGTTCACAATGCATCGTTATTTTTGAATTTTCTGCACAAACAATCCATGCATTGTTTACTTGATGCGACACAAACTATCACTCAAAATGAGTGATAGTTAAATCTTAAGTTTTTTGTGAGATTGGCGAGATTGTTGGAGTTTTTTCTTGGTTTAATTCACCTGCGTAGCCATAACTTTCACGATTTTGACAAATATAGCCACTTTTTGAAAAATACACAGATATAGCCATTCCGTCTATAACTTTAACGGAATAGTAATAAATGCTGACTGTACTAACGATTTTTGCTGACATGGTGATTGTTCATAAAAAACTATGCCTAGATGTAAATTATTCTTTTTTAATTAATTGAAAATTTCTAAAAACTACTATTCCCTTCCGCCGCTTATGCTTTTCCTCTTCCTCTTCCTCGCAACTCTCAACCTCCCACCTCTATTCTGCCGTGTCTTCAAGCTCTCCTCCCTCAATTGATTCAAGAAACCAGATCGCCTTGAAAAATTCCAAATCGTTTGAATTTTCACCATCAATAGCTCTACTGAAGCTCTGTAGACTTCTTCCCCTTCCTCTTCTTCTCTCGTCGCTGCCAATTCTTCAGTCGCATCCACCAGCTCCGTCGCCGACCAGAAGCAAGCGAGCCAGAGGACTCGACGCAGGCGGACTGCGTTCCGTGACGATAAGGATCGAGACGACGAGGGCTGGGGTGCTTCAATCCGGCGAAGATTACAAGAAAGAGAAACCCATTTAACAGGGAGAGAGAGGTCTGTGGCGCCGGCGGTGGGAGGGAGGAGTTAAGGAGGGAATGCGTTGAGCTTGGAGGGTTTGAGTTTTTGGATTTTGGGTTGCGGTGAAGCTTGGTGGGTTCTAGGTTTCTGGGTTCCACAACATCCCCACACCAGCATCGATTTTTTGTTCGTTGAGATTCCAATGTCGCTGGTTCTGGGTTTTATGGGGAAACTGTGTTCTTTATTATAGTGGCAGGCTGGCAGGAAGGAGTGGCGACTTGCAGTGAGGGGGGAGCTCCAGATCTGCACTTCGGGTCGGCGACGGGGCTGTGGGTGCGGAGGGAGGGGTGGCTGCTTCGACGATCCATAGCGAGCAGGGTCGTTCTCATTCATGGCCGGGATTCGACAGCATCATTAGCGGAGGAGCCTAGTAAATTTCAATCCTGCCGCTACTAGTGTGAAATAGCCCAGGATAATTGATGGGGAAAGAGAGAGGGTTTGAAGGGAGGAATCATGAATTTGGATCTGGTGAAGAAGGGGGAGGGGAATTTGGGAAGACAAGCAGCGTAGTGGGAAGGGATGAATGAATAGAGCGAGAAAATAAAAATAAAATAATTTATTTCTTATAAAATATTTTATTTTATTTTTTTTAGTAATATTAGTTATTTTTTGATTAAAAATCTACTTTTAACATGACGTGGCGTATGACATGGCGTCTGGGTGGCATGAATATGTCTAGTTGGTGATGACGTGTCATGCAAGTGGCATCCACCTCAGCGACACGTAGATGTTATTAACGGCGTCTATGACGATGTTATAATTTGTAACGGAAATGGCTAAAGTTGACAATCAAGTTTCACAAAAGTGGCTATATCTGTGTATTTTTCAAAAAGTTGCTATATTTGTCAAAATCGTGAAAGTTATGGCTATGCAAGTGAATTAAACCTTTTTTCTTCTTCCAACTATGTCCCTACCTTTAGATGTGTTTTGCTCTTTTTTATATTAAAAACAAAGGGTCAAATTGGCATTTCATCCAAAAAGTAGTATATCTTATTTAAATAGTAAATACTATGATAACTATTAGAGAAATCAAAATGATATAACTACAATACATCAATTTTCTTATATACATGTATATTATTATACATAATATTAATAACAATACATCAATTTAACTTTCACCCAAACCAAAACACTATCTTTTATTAAAATCTTGCTTGTTGAAAACTAGAACTCGCCAGCCGGGAACAAACTCATTCAGTTCAATTAGTTAAGATTAGGGGTGTGCAATGGTTTGGTTCGGTCCGGACCGGACCAAACTCATGAGAACCGCGGTCCATTAGTGAAAGACATGTTAGGACCAAGGACCGGACCATTCTTGCATTTGGTCCATTTGATCTGGTTCGGTCCGGTCCAAATATGAGCTCGGTCCACCATTTCTTCAGTAATTATAAAAATCATGAGGACCAAGGACCGGACCGCATTTTACTCGGTCTGGTCCGGTCTTAACAACGGTTTGGTCCGGTATGGTCCGGTACGGACCGGACCATTGCACACCCCTAGTTAAGATCTACCCGACCCGGAAAGTAGATGCCCTAATAAAACGCTGTACGCTACAGTTTTTACTTTTCCGGCTTTCAGCTCACAGTTTTGCGAAAGCTTTGGCTCTGTTTTCTCCTGGTCTCGCAAACCAAAGGGAACATCAGGTCACTAACGCAGTCTCCCTCGCGGCGAAGAGTGATTAATGGACTGGAACAGTACTCCGGCGGAGCAAGCAGAGCCGCCGATGAGCCGCCGGTCTTCTCTACCGCTATCCTCTACCATTCCCGCCAGCCCTAACACCGTCTGGGTCGACGCCACGCCGCTCCTCCAGGCCGCTTGCACAGGTCAATCGATTGAAATTCCTAATTCAGCTGTCGAACTTTGCGATGTTAGAATTGCAGTCTCTACTATTAGTTTCATTAGTCTATTCTTGGTATGGTCTGTCTATTAAAGGTTTGGTGGAAACTGGAAAGGGTCTCGACTTCAAATGATAAAGTGATCATTATGGGGAATCGCTTGGGAGTGGGACTTGGGTTGTGGATTTACCAACGAAAGTTTGGTCTTTTGTGTCGGAACTCGAGAGTTATCCATTGGTGGGAAAGATAGGCAATTGGGGGGTTTCAATCCAGTGTTTCAGAGGAAAAAACTTGGTGCATGCATTGGGGGATTGGATTTTACGAGTTCTATCTAATTGGAAGTTCAGTGCTTTGTTGGTCAACCATTTAACAGAACTAGGATGGGCTGCAGAATGGATCATTTTGTGCGTTGAGATTTAACTATGTGTTCCTCATACTAAATCACAGATCTTCTGGATGGTGAGCTCATTCACGGAGAGAATTTCAATCTTTTCGCTGCCATGTCTGCTTTAGAGGTAACGGAGTAGTTTCAAAAATTTCTCTCTGTACCTGCACTTCGCAACTTCCCATAAGAGCAGCATGTTTTCACTTTAATGGATAAATCCTCAACCATTTCGTTGCTGGTCATAATTTTGAAGTCGGTCCAAATGGTCATTGAGTGCATGCACTATCGAGGCTTTTAAGAGCCATCAAAGAACACAAGTGCTGGACCGTTTCTGTTGCTTCTTAGCTTGCCTTCACATGAAATTACGTTCGAACTTATGATTGGTTTAAGACTTTGCCTAGGAGGGTGCTCACTTGCTTTCTGCACCTAGTTCGTTGATCACCAAATCTTCTTTCTAAAGCCAACTCTATAGCAGAATTATATCAAACTGTAGTTTGCTTGGTTTTTCTTTTGTGGCTTTTTTGCAACTTCGTTGCTCTCTTGTAAAATGTGAGATGTGGTGAGGTGTTTGGCTTGCATAGTAACACAAACTTTTTGGCTTTCCTTTCCTCTCTCTTTATCCTTCACGTTCATAATTTGGCTTGGCAACTGATGAGCACAGTTATTCAATTTTCTAGATAATGGACCCAAAGATGGATTCTGGCATGATATGCAAGTACTATTCAGTTGATGAGGCAATCGAAGACGGTGTTGGTCCAGTTCCAATAAGCTTTGATAGAACCACAGATGTTCAATGCACATTAGATATCATGGACCATCTCTTAGCTTGTGAGGTAGGATTGGTATATCACCATTTGAGGATTACACGTTGAAAGAAGTTTGTAGTCCTGAACTGCTGTCTTTCTGTGGTAGGCAACGTGGCACAAGGGTCATTCACTTGCTCAAACTGTGTTCTCTTGTATCTACTTGTTGAGGCCCGAGAGAACAGTTCCATCCCCAATATTGCATTCATATTGCAAAATCATTCGGGCTACCTGCAAGGCTATTGTTTCAGTTGTCTCAGATGCCCGTACACATGAAGTAAAGTATTCCAACAACCCTTTAGCTTCTTACTCCTTCAATATTTCCTTAGTTCATATTTGTCTACTGTCTTTTTTCCTCCCCTTTCTGTTTCATCATCAACAAGCATGGTGATGAGTAATAATTGTGAAGATATTCTTAAAACTTGTTAAACAGTTATATGTTATATTAATATACTGAGTTAATTCATTTCTCTGGCAGGAAGAGGATCTTTTTACCATGGCTTATGGACTTCCTTTGGACGGGGATGGAGATGAAAAGAGCTTGTCTTTGCTAAATGCTGTTGAAGAGAACCTGTGTCGTCAGTTGCGTGCTTGCAAGGCTCAATCATCTAGAAGAAAACAAGGTATAATTGAGTTTTCCTTGTAATGAGAACTTGCATTTCTTTAGCTCAGCAAGTGGCTTAATCAAACAATTATATGACATACTAATGTTTCTGGAAAAAAGCAGATATGGAACCTTTGCAATCTGATATTGACATGGAGGAGGGCTACTGTAAAGCATTGTTATGCCGCTTACGCTTTCGTAAGGTCTTATCCTCTGTTTATCCTGTGCAAAGTGGGCAAATTATATGCAGTGCATTAGCATATTGCTTTTTCTATTACACAGTCACTTAGGTTACTTTCTACTTCATTATGGTTCCCTTTTGCTCTTTTTGATACCCTTCGCCTTCTGCTTCCAGCATTTTTTTCATGTACTTGCTTGTATGAGGCGGCCTCAAGGAAAAGGCTTGGAGCTGGCCAGGAAACATATAGCTTCATCCATATCAGAGCTGGAGTGCATTCGTAAATCAGCAGACTTTCTAATATCAACTGCTTCTGGCGGTTGTTCAATTGGTATCGAAGATAGAACAACTGCATCTGGACGGAAACCTATTGGTTTTGATGCTAGTTTGAATAGTAGAGTCTCTGCTCCTGCTCCACCTCGCTCAATAAAAATGCTTAGTTGGAATAAGGTGATGACTGCAGAAATTAAATATGCCTAACTTGTTCAATTACTCATTTTAATGAAATGCTGTTTTCCCCCATTCTGCCAGGCCATTGAGTATTTTGAAAAACTTCTCCGTGATCTAGATTTTATTTGTTCCTATTCATTGGACCCATCCTTGGAAGTTCTGCTACGGTTCGTGACCCAGTTTCAGAGTTCTCGACCTGATCTAGTTGCAAGATCACATCTTCAGGTTCCTTATTCTTTGCCCTCCACTGAAACTGTTTTTTCCCCCTGAGTCTGTTATTATATGATCAATACTCACTTAAGCTGCTTAGATGGACATCCCTTTTTCATAAGCATAATGCATTTTCTAATTAATTTTCAGTTCTTATCAATATCATCGCTGTCAGTGGTTGACTTTCGGTTTCTTTGCAGCTTTTGCTGGTTCAAGAGGGAAGGCTTTATGGACGGGATCCTATGTTTGCTGTAATTACTAGAGCTGCAGGGTTGCCTGAAACCACAAAGAACCATGATATTCAGAGATATGAATCTGTTATGCAACTAGGGCAGGTGAGGATGATTTCCAATTACTCTATTTCTCTGGAACTTACTACCTTCTTAAATGTTCTGCTGTAGTTGAACTTATCTGGTGACTGTTGATGAGAACTGAATTACTGAGTTTGCAAGCACAAATGTTTAGTGCTGAAATAGCGACGACTGTTAATTTCTGCATCCTTTTGCTATATACTTGTTCTAAGAACGAGCCTTCCATGCATCTTGCAGTTAGTCATCAACATGCTCAAAATTGTTTGTACAAATACTGCATGGCAAAGGCGTAAACTAGGAAAAAGTTTGCAAGATTGGCGTGTTATCTATGTACAGGTATGTAAATCTGGTTAGTGACTGCCTAAGTACAATAGCAGGAGGCCTACGTAGAGGGCAGACTTTGCATGCCATGGTCTCCTAATATTAGTACCATGATTTGTGTTGATGGGATTTGACTTCCATCATGCTTTACATTGATATTAAATAACACAAGGCACCTCCGTTGTTGAATTTGTTCCAACAGCTAGAGCTTGCTTTCACAAACAAGTTTGGAGAAGTATTAGCAACTTCAAATGACGAGGTAATTTTCTCTCCTCTAATTCTGACCTTTTATTTCACATTTGGTTGTGATATCTCATAGGAGGCGATGAGTTTCATTTCTACAGAATGGTGTTGCAAGAGTTGTCAAACAAATCCTGATATGGTTGGAGGAGCAGGCGTACTGGATAGCGTTTCGGTTTCTCATGTTGGGCTTCGAGTTAGAGCTCTACTCGCCTAGCGAATTCTTCATGGTATACTGGTACCTTTATGCTGTCTTGGTCAAGCTAGCTGAGAAAACAGATTCTAGAATGGAGATCACTGAGATCACTGGTATGGCCTATGTCCGTATGTCTTAGTTGTTTGCTTAGATGGAACTTTATAGAACATGTTGTAATAAAACTGAAAGAAGAATGAGCTTGGCGATAGAATTACTTAGAGAACAAGCTAAATGAATCTGGTTTTTTCCTGCTGAGAGAGCTGGCAAAAAGATTACTAATGCATTTCATTTTATATTCTGTAGCAGCTAAACGGAAGGGAAAGAAACGAAAGGATTCATCGAAAGATGTAGGAAGAGAGACTCGGATTCCACCAGCAGTGCGTTTTCTTCAGTGTCAAATCCACCTCGTCGAAGGGCTCACACTCGTAATCATACTTTGGATTTCGTCCTATGTTTGTCTGGTTTTGCCGTACACTAGCTAACTATTTTCGTCTAATGTCGACAGCTGCAGGCTGCTTTAAGAAACGAAATGGCGGCCTTACACAGTCTAACCCCATTCAACTCCGAACAAGAGGTGAAAGTCTCCATCTTTTCTTTAACAATCAATCATGTGATGATGCTTACTGATTTCACTTGCATATTTCTTGCATCTCAAGGATCAATCCAGTGACTTCCACGTTACCAATCACCACCAAGAGTGGCCAGCTTTACTACTGAAATTCTCAACAAAGCCAGTCACTTTCAAAATCTGGTACTCACTTTTTACTTCTCGACACTTGTCTCTTTTCAGATCTTCCTCCAGCATTTCGAGCTTCTCCAGAAAGCTTGTATTCCAGAGCAAATAACCTACCACTCGTTCAAGGAATCCACTTCGTACGCCAGGTTCTCGGTGAGTCAACATTCACAAAACGTCACCTCTGAATCACCACTAGTGTATCCCATTTTCCTCATGGCGACCCCGCCTCTCTCTGTCATTCATAGAACATAGCAACGCCCAACTGCTTCCAACAAGCACAGAAGCTGGCCAAAGAGCTCAGGAGCAGCTTCTCGAACGACCATGACCGGCTAGCCGAGCTCAGGAGGTTAGAACAGGTGGCGGAGCACAACAGCGTGGCTATGAACGTCATCTGCCAGCTCGGAGCTGTGGAACCTAATTCCCTGAAGGTTTCGTTCGAGTTCATACACCACCCGTGTTATGCGACAGCTGTAGTCCGGCGAGCTTGAGAGGCCAAAGGCAGCACAAATTTTGGAAGCCCATTTGTTAGAGAAGGCAATCAGTCAGCTAAACAGTTGTTCCCTCTGTAACATTCTGTAACTTGTTTTTTTGGAAAATTGCTCCTCTTTTTCTCTCCATTTGTTTACTTTTCCTAGGAATATAAGTAGTTAGTATTCAGTTTTTGCTTGTTAATTTTTGTTGCTTCATTAGCATGCCCATTTGAGATAAGCTCAGAAATCAGAATCATAAACCTGCATCTAGTTTGGGTGATAACCGAAGATCATAAGGAGCCTTTGTTTCTTATTTCCAATTTTGCTATTGTACACACAGGCGTCTGGAACCGTTGGATTGAGCGCGGACGATTCATGATTGTTGGATTGAATAGTCGTACTGTGGATCCGGTCGCTCAATCTGACGATACCATACCCCAAGCCGCAGGCGTCTGGAACCGTTGGATTGAGCGCGGATGATTCGTGATTGTTGGATCGAATAGTCGGATTGTGGATCCGGTCACTCAATCTGACGATACCATACCCCAAGCCGCTTAAGAGCATCATAGTCGGATTGTCTTCCTCTTTATCTGCTTATCTTCTGTTGGTCTTATATTCTCGGCTTGTCTTCATGAATAGCAGACAAATTTATGAAATGTAGAAAGAGTCTTGCGTTTTCTACTAGCTAATTTTTTTTTGAAGGAACTGTAATATAGGAGATTTCGAAGATGAGTTTCATGAAGTGCTATCTCTTTCGCTATCTCGATTTTTGTGAATATCTAATGAACTCATAGTCGTAAACAAAAATTCTAGGCTGAAAATTACCAAATTAATAAGATTCTAGTTAGGTAATCAGCTACACCGTCTGTCGGTCCGTGACGGCAAAGTACAAAGAAGCGGGGTGGGTTCAGGTCCTTAAAGCCCAATTCTTAAGAAGTTCCTTAAGGTAATCTGGGCCATTAGATCAAACTTAGGAAGTTAGCATGTAGTTAATCGGTTTTAGGCGGTTAGGGGTAGTGATGGTATTGAAGTTTAATTTAATTAATTATTTTGAAATTTATTAATACCATCCGCATGTTTTACAGGAGTAAAATTGTTATAGGTTTTTTTTTCTACAGGTCTCTAGGTTTTGCACCGTCCAAAAATTATGCAACTCCGGCAACGGGATTCCTTGAATCGTCTGGCGGTTTCTGCTGCCCGAGCATCGTCTACAGCAGCTCCGCCCTGTTCAACATCCCATATCGTCTCGTTCAGCAGCTCCAGCCCGTTCAGCAACTCGCGCCGTCGACTCCAACCCGACCATTTCTTCGTCGACGCTGGCGGTCATCTCTTTCCTTATATCCTGCCTCCTAGAGTTCGTTGTATATGAACTTTTTTGTCTGTGTTGCAGGGAGATTTCTTCATTGCAACCCAAGTTTGAAATTGATTTGTGAACCCCGCTGTGAATAACAACTTGAGTTTTTATTAACAGCCTCGTAGAGTATTGTCAATGGTTTGTATTGTATTTAAGAACTCAACGTGGGCTTTTATTAACAGAGAGTGGTATCATTATTAACATGTGGCATGCGGAATTAGTTATGGAATTTCATGGATTGTTAACATCTTATGACTTAATTAGTAATGTTTTCAAATTTTGTATGTACATGTGAATTTCGAAGGTAGGAAAATGTAAATGTCACTTTCAATAAAAAGCTGTTAATCTCGTATCATTGAACCACTAATAACGCTTATATATAACATTAATAATTGTCACAACACTGGTTAATGTTGCTCTACAATATTTTGAATTTTACACTCCTTTCTTAACAATTAACATCGTTTGTGTTAACAATCCCTCAATAGTATGATTAAACATCTCCACGCAACACGTTAATAACATTCACCTAAACATAGTATATTACTGATAATGATATAAAAATGACTAACAATTAAAACATAAATCGTTCATAACACATTAACAAAAAATAGAATACTATTAATAACATTTACCACCAATTTTCAAAACAAAATCCATATGACACAGTTTAACAAAATCACATGTCCTTACGATGTTAATAATGACAATGTAAATCATTAATAATAACTGCATAGTCAAGCTATCTTGCTATGTCCTGTGATCAAAGATTGTAAGGTTGAGCTTGGTAAGCTGGAGCTGAATCCTCTGATTCTGATGAGGATTCTCATCATGTACATGACACTCTAGTTAAATCGTTATTTTTCATCATCGGTTTTTCCATTATTATTAATCATATCCGGTTTTGTCAGGAACAACAGTTAAGGGAGGTTTGATTAATTGGATGTGGGTTGGATATATTGTTCATGATTTGCATTTTAATTATTAGTACATCAATGGCCTTTATTAACAGACTATTTTGTTCATTATTAACATGCGACCTACGTCATTAGTAATCGAATTTAATGAATTGTTAACATCTCGCCACATAGTAGTAATGTTTTCATTATTTTCCATGTTAAGGTGGGGATCACGGAAATGCCGAAGACCATATTGATGTTTTTGATATTGCTGCATAAATCAGAGGGGATCAACCTGGGAAGACTATGACATACAAACCGAAGCAGAAATCTCGACCCTTAGTTGTACCATCATATGACTGTCTTAATAACTATAAGGTCACTGCTTAACAACACTCGCATGTTCTTTAATAATTACCTAAACCCTTATAATAATCCGCAACTATTGTTCGTAACATCAAATAGTAGTAATAATTGTTATTTTCGTTCGTAACACTTACAAAATGAAGTATTACTAATACACCTATTTTTTCTAAAAAAATGCCAAAACCGTTAATAACCATTTATCAAGTTGGCGGTGAAGGGAACGATGATCATGTTACAAACTTCTGTTGAATGAGTTCATAAATAGTTAGTGAGCATTAAAAATAATCATATCATCAATGTATCGTATGTTAAACATTATTAACCTAGTCGTTTAGATTTTTAACATGGTATGGAATGGTCTGCTTATAAAAGTGTACAGATGTTAACCAATGGCATTAATAATGACTTCGGTTCTAGTTAATAAGCGAAACGATTTCCATTAATAATGATGCAAATACTTGGTAAAATATACTACATACGGTAACATAATAACTAATTTCAACCAAAATGTTAATAATCACTTCAGGGACTAGTTAATACCCTAGACGATTCTCATTAACAATGATGAAACTAATTGTTAAAATATGCTAAACGTTTGTAACACAATCAACATTTTCAACTAAACTGTTAATGCCAAGAACCGAAGTCATTATTAACTAGAACCGAAGTCATTATTAATGCCATTGGTTAACATCTGTACACTTTTATAAGCAGACCATTCCATACCATGTTAAAAATCTAAACGACTAGGTTAATAATGTTGATTGCAAATACTTGGTAAAATATACTACATACGGTAACATAATAACTAATTTCAACCAAAATGTTAATAATCACTTCAGGGACTAGTTAATACCCTAGACGATTCTCATTAACAATGATGAAACTAATTGTTAAAATATGCTAAACGTTTGTAACACAATCCACATTTTCAACTAAACTGTTAATAATGACTTTAGGTACTAGTGAATAACCTAGACAATTTTCATTAATAATGATGAAATTATTATTACTAACGACTAATCAGCTACATAACCATTACTAACCACACGTCAAAGAACGTTAATAATGGAGACAATTATGTTTTTTTTTTTGGGGACAAAGAGAAATGGTTGTTGCACATGATAAGTGAGCGGCATGTTTGTAGGCAATTTAACAATTTTCCAGAAATAAATAGAATTATTAATAGCATTAAATAATTAGGAAAACTTCCTCATTTACCCTTTTATTTAGTTACGGGTTAGTTACATGTCTTCCATCTCTCTCCTCTCCTTATTGGCTAGCCAAGGCTTAAGGAACTCCTTAAGTTTTGGGCTTAAGGATGTGATCCAACCCGGAAAGAAGCAAAATGAGTTATGTGGGCCATCGGTCGGGCCCATAACATCTATCTTTCAATTTTGGGCTAACAGCTACAGCGACGTACGAGCCCAAAGTGGGATCCACTTACAGTTTTGGATGGTTTTGTTTTATATCGGATGGGAATCCAACCAATATAATACTAGTACGTAGTACCCACCGAGAGGGCACCTGAGCTGGCGTGGCGGTCAGTTACGATCGTAAGAAATATAACACTCTGTTTTCGAAGGAAAGGAGCAAAGTGAGGGAGGAGAAGGAAAATCTGGAAGGGAGGGATAGAATGGGATCGAGAACGGTGAGAGGCAGGTCACAAGTAATACTCATGTCCCGCCACATGCTATTACGGGTAGGATAATATCCACCCGAAACAGGACGGGTCGCACCTGTCAGGTCGGAAATAGCCAACACTAGACCAATCCCATTACACACACACACGATCGTCATGCACAAACAATTATTCAACAAATGTTTGTTTTCAACTGAGAGAGATTTCTCTTCTATGCACGCTTAAAGAATATAATTTTTGTGATGGATGATGAGTACTTCTCGACGGTCCATCTAAGATTTTGTTTCTACTTTATGCTGCATATTACAGCACGTACGATGTTTAGCGTACTCGTATATAATTCTTTAGAAGTTATTGTATCTGTTTTTTTTTTTTAATTAATTGAAATACAATTTCAAGGGTGTGTTCATCCTCTTTTTAAGAGTGGTTTGGGTAAGAGGGAGTGATCACACAACTCACATCCACATGGACATGGCATAAACTTTGGGGGAGGTTCCTTTCAAAGATGTGTTCTGTTTGCTTTTGAACTTCCCACTAGAAAAATTTAACAATTTCCCCCAACATTGATTTGAGTAATCCCTAAGCCACCACAAAATAATTAATCATTGTAATAAAATCAAAATTACCCAAATAATATGTTTCCTCGTTTTCGATAGTGGCACTTATTATCATAGTAGGCATGTGATGACACCTCACTTTCTACAACTACTATGACTTAAATGACATTATTGGCATTTATTCAAATTTTTAATTTTTGAGACATCCCATTGAATAGTGTATGTGTCAATTCAACTACAAATGGACCATATTGTACCTACCTACACAATTCAACTACAACAACAGATTTTGACCAAACATTTGTCTATGATGAAATTTCAAAGTTTTCTAGATACTGGGGGCTTATCTACTCTAACAAAGGTTTTATTATAGTAATTTCGAGTTCAACAGGTTAAAGATCAAACATTTTCGTTTTGGTGTTGAAAATCTGTCTTTATGATGAATATTGGTTTGACTGTTAAATGAGATACATACTTCATAAGTATGTACTTTAGGAATTTTACCTTTGTCAAATCGTGAAAGGAATGGTTACATCAAGCAATATGCATTGGGTTTATAGTTGGATATTTTCTCTCTCGCCTCATGTTTTACTTGGGCGAGTATATAAAACATAATTAAAAATGATAATGGGGTAGATCGGGGCGGGTTTTCTATACCAGTACCCACCTGTGGCATGTTGGGGTCCGTTAGGATAATTTATCATGGAGCGATGGTCAAACCAAATCAATCCATATGATTATGTAATTTAAACGAAAAATAGTTGAAATATTATTTTTCATTAAAAAAAACAAAGAAACAAACTATAACATGATAAATGTAGTTAAATTATTCGAAAAATTAAGATACTATAATTTTAATATAGAAAAAATAATAATTTGAATAAATTATAAGGTTCATTTGATATTTAATATCTCTAATTAGAAAAATTATTAGAAGGGGAAAGAAAATCTCATGTGTGGAATGTTACAGACAGCGAGGCCGGTGCCAGTGCCATGCAAGCAAAGCACGGCTTTGATTAAATAATAAATCACGCGTTAATTTTCCGTCCAGCTGGAGATCACGGTTGACGTTTATGACGTGGCGAAATCAGAGAGGAGGAAAGAGGATGGAGTTACCGTGGAAGCGGCTGTAGGGGAGCACAAGCCATTTGGACTGTGTGGCAGTAAAGTTTCCTCGTACGACGCCGTAACTGTGAAAGTGTGGGGACAAAAAGAAATGTCAACTAGCCTCCAACAAGGGCATGACAAAATTACGTTTTCGTGATTAGCACAAATGTTGTTAGCACTTTTAGTCCCTCCAAATTTTTATTTTTACAAATTTTAGTCTCTTTATGATTGGAGCCACTCATAGATGCCAACTATCTCTCTTTTTTACGAATACGCATGCGAAGTTCACGTTGTACTTAACATTAATTATTTAATATAGCATTGACTAAATTAATCTGACGAATAATGAGTATTTGTGCATTATCCATGTACCTTATCTATTATAAAGAATACCAAGAATTTTTTTTTAAAACAAATTTAGAAACTCGAAACCACATTACCGTCCTCACATCAGACCCATTATGAAGAGATATGGGTTTAACATTATATATATGATATCATTTTCAAAAATTTAGCTACAACTCGAGAGAATTGCTGCTCTCTACTAACTTTTTTTGTCTACTTTTTGGAGAAATAACTATAATCAAGCACGGGTAAGATCACTATTGGGAGACATTTAAATACAATAAGTATGTTTGAACCATATGTATTTTTGGGCAATTCTTTGGTCATAGTTTGGCTTCTCTAACACCATAAGAGTAATACTTTAGATTAACATATTCAACATCGAAAAACCGAATGTACATTTAAACAAGTAATGGTACGTTGAATGTTCAGTGAATGAATCTTTATTTCAAGATCCGTAGCGCCCATCAAAACGAAGGAAGGTAGTCATTGATGGACTAATTTGTATAAGCTTCAAATGACAAGGACTAAAGATGCTATAGAAATTACGGGGGGGGGGACTACCCAAAAATAAGAAGGTTTTGCAGGGACAAGCACGCCGTCTAAACAATTGACAGGGGAATTATTATTTTTAAACAAAATTGCGGGTCAATTTAATACGGAAATAAAAGATTAAAAAATACAGAATAAAAACAAATGATTTCTATTAAATTTTCGTCTACGACGCCGACGACCCAACAAAAAACCGAGCTCCTCAACTCAATTCCTCTCTGAAAAGTAAAGAGAGGAAAAGAGGAAAAGAGGGTTTCCATTTCCAATTCTCTGAGTCAGATTGTCATCATTTCTCCATCGACCCTTTCCCATCTCTTCTTCCTCCGTATTGGTTTCAGCTCAGGTGTTTTCCTCGCCCAATTCACCTGTGTCAGGGCGGGAGTTCCATCGTTTGGGAATCTTTTTCTTTACAGCTCTCAGTTGGTAATGCAATCCTTGACTTGAAGACACCTTACTTTTATATTCGTCTAGTTGGGTTTTCTATTCTGGGTAGGTTTGTTTTGGTGAGATCCTTTTTGGGGTCTTTTGTTTTTGTTTTTTGTTGGTGTCTGGAAATCGATTCTGCTGCTGTATGTTTTCAGCTAAGAGTTGGGGTTTCTGCTTTCTGTGGTTTGCGATTATCTAGGTTCTGGGTAGGTCTGTAAAGTTTGTTTCTTTGCTTTCTTTCGGTTGTGGTGGAGCTTGGGAGTTATCGTTTTCCTTGTGTTTTTCTAGTCAGTGCTTGGTTTGACTGTTGGTGAATGTTAGGTTTTGTCGATTGTTGGGATTCTGGCTTGGATCTATCTAGATATGAGCTCTAAGTTGTTGATCGTGGTTTAAAAGTTCATTTTTTGGGTACTTTCTTGTGGGAGGAGTATGTTCATCTTTCCGAGGATGATGTTAACGGTGTTAAGTTTTGCAGAATTCTATTGATCAAGTGAGAGAAGATGTCAGGAGGTGGAACTCAGAACAGCTTGAGGAAGGCACTTGGGTCCATTAAGGATACCACCACTGTTTCATTGGCTAAAATCAATAGCGATTACAAGGTTACTAGTTGCGAGTTTTTGGGAGTTTAGACTATGGTTGTTAAAGTTTCCTCTTTTAATCTCATTGATCTGTTTGCTCTTGTTACTCTTTCATTCCCCAGGAATTGGACATTGCTATAGTGAAGGCCACAAATCATGTTGAAAGACCAGCGAAGGAGAAACATATAAGAGGTGGGTGATTTTGTGCCAATTGTTTTGCCTCTTCAAGCCATGGAAATTCTTTCAATCCTTCGGCTTCTTGTGGCTTTAACGTTTTGAGGGAGAATTGGCTGAGCAACATCAAGCTCACGTGGTTTCCTAAATCTTCTTGCAGCTGTTTTCGCTGCTATTTCCGCTACCAGACCTCGTGCTGATGTTGCATATTGCATCCATGTTCTTGCCAGAAGGTTGGCAAAAACGCATAACTGGGCGGTAGGTGTTTATCTATTGTTTACTGTCTTGTTCTGATCGGAGACATACTAGAGTGGTGTTCGTTATGGTAGAACATCTCTCTTAAGCCAAGTGGCTACCGTGTAGATAAGTTCAGGCATGTAACTCTATCAGTATCAGCCATGAAATAGCTTATGTGGTAGCTGATTTCGTTTCTGTTGTATTGTGGTCCGTGCTTATAATTTTCTATTATTTGCATTATTCTCTCTTGTATTGATGGACTGAATATCTCTGACTTTAGGTTGCCTTGAAAACTTTGGTTGTCATCCATCGAGCTTTGAGAGAAGTTGACCCTACATTTCATGAGGAGCTCATCAATTATGGCAGAAGCAGAAGTCATATGCTCAACATGTCGCATTTTAAAGATGATTCCAGCCCAAATGGTATTGGTTTTTTTTTCTGTCTGAACTTAGTGAGCTGCCTGTTTACTTAGATGACTGCTACACTGATGATTCTTATGCATCATGTAGCATGGGATTATTCTGCTTGGGTTCGCACTTATGCGTTGTTTTTGGAGGAGAGGCTGGAATCTTTTCGGGTTTTGAAGTATGACATTGAGACAGATCGACCAGTACGTTCTCTCTCTCTCTCTCTCTGTTATTTCATTCTGCTCTTAACTATTTCTGCATGTGTTCCTATATCATTTTTAATCGTTCCTGATGATTGAAGTCTCAGTTAATAGTAGGTGTCCATCATCCTTGACTAATTCGTTAATAAACCTTTTGCAGAGGACTAAAGATCTGGAAACTGCTGAATTACTGGAGCAATTGCCAGCGTTGCAGCAGCTTCTTTTCCGTGTCCTTAACTGTCAGGTACCAGCTAAAGTTGCTAAATACTAGTGAGGGTTTAACAGAAGAAAGACACTTTTTTTTTTCATTCCATCTTTACTGAAGCAATATTTGGTTCTTTTTTAACAGCCTCAGGGAGCTGCTGTTAGTAACTTCATCATCCGCTTGGCACTCTCAATGGTAGGAGAAATTTTTTAATGTCTTTTCTTCTCAAGTTAGTGGATAAGAGTTAGTAATCTTCTTTGTTTTATGACTTATCATTTTCTTTCATGCCATTTTCTAATAGGTTGCTTCGGAAAGTGTCAAGATCTATCAAGCTATAACAGATGGAACAGCAAATCTAGTCGACAAGGTAGTAAATGATCTGGATTTCGGTCCTTAATAATTAATATCTGATGTTATAATGTTCCAATATTAACTTTAGCTTTATTAATGACAGTTTTTTGAGATGCCACGTGCTGATGCTGTGAAGGCTCTGGACATATATAGGAAAGCCTGTCAGCAGGTAATTTTTTTTTTTTGGTTACTTGAGATGCGGAAATTTCATTCAAGAGTCTCCGTTTGAGACATTTGAATTTGTTTTTCAGGCAGAGAGACTGTCGGAATTTTATGAGATATGTAAAAGCATGGATATAGGGCGTGGAGAACGGTTCATTAAGATTGAGCAGGTTTTGAGATTCTCTCTTACTTTATCATCTCTGCAATTTTCTATATTCATTTGTTCAATTTTTTAAGTGAATTTGTTTCTGGTGATGATGCAGCCTCCTGCATCTTTCTTGCAAACAATGGAAGAGTATGTTCGTGATGCTCCACGTGTCTCAACTGTTCGCAAAGATCAGGTACATAACCTAATCTTCCTAGATAGGTAGAAAAGATTGTACTTTTGTAGTTCAGATGTCATCTGAAGGTTATTTGAACTCTTTCAAAGCTGTCCTGTGGTCTTAGCAAAATGAGCTTGGAGTCCTTTATGACTAAAACCACGTGAAATTGGTCTTTTTACCAAGCAGGTTGTGGATAACAAACTTGAAGCACCAAAGGAGGTTTTAGCCATAGAGTATAAGAAGGAAATCGAGGTGAAGGAAGAGGAACAACATGTGCCATCACCTCCTCCTCCTGAACCAGTGAAAGAGGAACAACCTCCCGTCGTTCCACCACCTGATTTGCTGGTGAGTCCCCAAATTCTTTTTTTCCTGCATAATCATTCACTTATCAGTTATTATGTATTGGTTTTTGAACATATCACAAAAGTAGCACATCCTTTCTCCCAGGAGCGTTTTGTATGTCAGTTCCTCACAAGGCATTGTCGCCTACTTTTGTTTGACAGAACTTGGATGATCCTGCTACAGTTGCTTCTTCAGAACTTGATGAGAGAAATTCCCTTGCCCTGGCTATTGTCCCAGTGGGTAAGCTCTTTGATTCCCTATTCTTAAATAGTTCTGAGTTCAGTAAGAACAGTGAGATCGCTCCTTTCCCCAGACCTGTTGCCTCAAGTGGGATGCCTTGTATCAGCAGCTTGTGTCTCATAGAATCTTTGGTTACTGAGCTTCCAAACTTAAATGTCGATGATTGAATTAAGATATCCCAGGACTTGGATTTCAATTTTCGTTGGGTTGAGTACTAATAAATCACATGCATAGATGGCTAACTTTATGCATAACTCTGATATCTCTTTTTGTAGGGGACCAACAACCTGCTGCTGCACCAACCCAAGCAAATGGAACTGGTTGGGAACTAGCATTGGTTACAGCTCCAAGTTCAAATGAAACTACCTCCGCTGCTAGCAAGTTGGTATGTTTGCTTCTTCAGATTTTCGCTCTTACCATTAATTTCTGTAATGTTAGCTAGGGTTGGACATGTGGTGGGTTTGGTTCAACTTGCATTGAACTGCGCAAAAACCCATATTCAGCCTGCAGGCTACATCGTTGAGGTGTGACCCGAACAGCAAATTATGTGGTCATGGTGAGGTTTGTGATGTGAACATAGTGAATCGGTCTTAATATTGTTGTCAGGAACACCACCAGAACACAGTGAATTGGACTAGTTATTGCTGCACTTCGGTTCAACTGCCATTAAACTGCATCTGTTGGCCACCCCTTAATGTTAGCTTTGCTGATTCTTATCAATCGTTTTCTTTGTTGTTAAGGCGGGAGGGCTAGATAAACTCACATTGGACAGCCTATACGACGATGCAATGAGAAGGAACAGCCAGCCTACGAGCTACAACCCCTGGGAAGCTGCCGCTCCAATGAACGGTCCAGTGATGCAAGCAGCCTCACACGATCCTTTCTTCGCCTCCAACGGAGTAGCTGCATCTCATAACGTGCAGATGGCGGCAATGGCCAACCAACAACAGGCTCTCATGTGGCAGCAGCAGCAACAACAGATGATGATGATGACCACCCCACAATTCCAACAGCAGGCAAATCCTTTCGCCAACCCTTATGGAGCTGCTGCAGTCCACCCCTATGGCTCAGGTATGCCGCCTCCCGTTCAAGCGTACCAACCATATCCAGGATACCTATGAGTGGAGGAAATGCCTGCTTTTTGTATAAAGAATGCACACATGGAAAGAAAGAGCATCATCATCATCATTCATCCACAGAACAACATTTTTTTTTTTTTTTGCCTCGTCACAGACCATCCCGAGTCTTATCGTGTATCATATTGTTATGTAATGTGCAGTTGCACGAGTCGTGCGTTAGATTTGATGATTCTTCTGATTATTTCTACGGCTAAGCGAGGATTAGAAATAATGTTTTTTTTTTTGCCCGAAACTTTGCCTTCGATGTTGGAGCATCATGCCACATATGTGTTAGCAGGCGAGTTTCTTGTACTGTCATTCATTCTTTTTTTCTTGTTTTGGGTGAGCTGTTGTTAATTTCCAGTTAGACACGGTAGAAAGAACCCTAATCCCACCACCATTTGTAAGATCTTGTGATTATCTATCAACCCTATTTTCACACAATGAAGAGTCATTTGAGTTTGGTTGAAACTTCTTATCTTTTCATCCATTCTTTTTCCACATTCTCTGTCACTTGCGTGTATAACAACTGAGTTCTTATTTCTTCCAAGTGAGGTCTTAGGATCACACTACTCTCCACCTCCGCGGATGACAAATAACCCATCGCCGAGAGTCCGAGACTACCAACTAGGGCTGGGCATGCGGGCGGATCATCCGCGGATTTGGGCCGACCCACCCGCATTTGACCCGAATTTCGTTAAGTGGGTGGGTCTGTGGGTGGGTGACGGGTTGCGCTGGAAGCCATCCGCCGGGTGGTGGGTGGGTTGTGGATGAGTGTGCGGGTGACCCGCTCAACCCAACAACAAAAAGATCAAAGTCGTTGGCGCTAGATATAAACTCGAACTGCTCCTAGAGTGTGAACCTCAAAGCCAACCTTCCAAATAGAGATCCCCTCTTCTTCCCTTTACTTTTTCCTCTAATTCTTGTGCCTAGATCACCGCTCTTTCCTTTGTGGAACTGTTTTCCTTAGTTCCTTGCACTTAATAATCGTCTCAATCTGTAGAAAACTCTTTCATAATAGAATTTCTATCCAATTTAAGAACTAATTCGACATTTTTCGCCCTATTTCAACTTCTTGTTTCCCTCGATGATTCTCTTCACCTATTATCATGTCAAGTTGACTCCTTTATATTATATACATTATGATGTGGGTGAACCCACAAAACCACCCGCATCATCCACCATCCGCCCAACCCAACCCGAGACTAAATGTGGGTGGGTGGTGGGTTAAAAATTATCAATCAGTTTAAGCGCGTGTGGGTGCATTTTATGGTCAAAATCCACCCGACCCATCCAATGTCCACCCCTACTACCAACCCGAGCTCGAATTGATTTAATCATGAAAAATCCAATATATATTATTTTTGAGTGATTTTTCCCGAATCCGATGAAGACAATGAATCTGGTACACTTTGATATTTTAAATTTTCGTACCAAATAAATTCACCCGATTTGTGCTACAATTATACTCTAGATTCACACAATCACACTCGAAAGAGGATCCTCTCGTCGCGTCTGCGGAAACCGGCTGTCCCGTTGAGACGTAAATCCGCCTTTCTCCGATGACGATCAGCGTTCTCGGAGACGATCTCCTCACAGAAATTCTGATTCGCAGTTTCCCGAATCCAAGATACGCCTGCCGGAGCCGAACCGTCTGCAAGCGGTGGAAATCCCTGATTTCCGATCCCCGCTTCAGTCGACGTTTCCTTTCTCACCACCAGACCACGAACAGGTACCCTCGTCCTAAGCTTCTTCTCTCAGGTGATAGGGAATCGGTCCTTTTGAGATTTCTCCCCATGCCCCTCGATGATATAGGCAGCCGTCCACGGCACTTCGCAGTGTTTGATTGCTTCAAGGACCTGCTTTTATGCGGGTTTGGGGAAACAGGTGACCGCCACACCAATGCCGAGCTTGCCAGATCGTACTTGCTCTGCAACCCTTTCAGCAAGCAGTGGGTGGCCCTTCCTTTGGCCCCTGAAAGGCCAGAGGGGCATACCGGGCTGTATGCAAGGTTAGTTTGCGAACCTTTAGTTTCTGATAGTCTTGATCTAGGAAGTGGCTTTGAGTATCGGTTCCGGGTGGTGTGCATATACCAAGATGTGGATTCAATGAAACTGGATGTGTTCTGTTCGGAGTCCGGAGAATGGACGAAGGAGGCTCTTGTTCTCGAAGGTTATCGCAGGCGCGAAATAAACGACGTTGTTACGTGCAATGGGGTTTTGTATGTATCGTATGTTAGAGCTCGAGACGAAGATTCTGGTTTGTATAAACCTTTTATTGCTGGTTTCAATCCTTTTCGTCTCGATATGCCTCCCACTCCTGTTGATGTTTCCCTGATCTCTGCGAATCGCTGGTGGGATATATCTGTTTCGCAAGGTGCTCTGCACTTGATTGTGTTCGAGAAGGGCACCAGATTTGGTTCTTCGAGGATTTTCTTGAGTGTCTGGAGACTAAACGAGGACTGTAAATTTTGGAGGAAGGTGTGCGAAGGTCCGGTGAAGTCGTCATCAGGGGGTACTAACTATCCACTCAAGTTCATTCATGTTCCTACCCTGCACCCAGAGAAGCCTGAAACTGTCTTCTTCGCTCATCTTGCTGGTCTTGGAAATTCTCACGTGTTCTGTGATTTGAGGAAGGGGGGCAAGCTAAAGTTCGTTGCTAAACTAACTCAATATTCTAGTGCTTGGAGGGTGTTCAAGCCTAAGGTCTCTTGCTGGCCTACTCCGATTCCAAGGTACCAGAAGTTGCGCGTTGGGTACGATGGAAGCTACAGCTGTTGGGTTCAGAGTGACGAACCTAGAACTGGTACTAACTACTTCTACTTGTGAGAATTTGCCTTCTTTGCGTATCTGCTAGCGACGAACCTATAACTTGCTGGTTAGGATGCAATAACTGGATTTTCTTCTTAATATATTTAAGTAGGAGGATTTAGTTAGGATGCAGAAGTATGTTCGAGCATATAACTCTATTGTAGGAAGGCAAAGTTAGAAACAATGTTGGTAAGCGAGGTGGGTTTTGGGTTTAATAATTGTTATGGAGCAAGGATTACTAGTATATATTTTGTAGGAGTCAAATTTAAAAAGTGTTTTGGTTTCAACTTGTAAGCAGACATTGTTTTAATTGCCTCTACTGTTTAAGCTTAAACAAAAAACACCTCTTGTTCTAATTGCTTGAGAATTCAAGATAGATGCAGATAGTTACAGAGAAACGTCATGCTATATTCGTTCTCCATATTTATTGTTGTGGCCTAGTATCTGATCATATCTCGCTTCTCATATCCATGTTGTGATTGGTTTGATTTTTCTGTACCTAATAGAAGAATGGCAACGTGTTGACGGAGTTGAACAATCTTGTCACTGGAAGAAGCTGAAAAGATGGTGAGAGGCTTGCCTCAACGAGTAAAGGAAGGATGATGGCGCCGGAAGGAAGTTATTATCTATCCTTTTCTTTTGGGTGTTATCTATCAGTTAAAAGGAACATGAGTTAATCGATTGGTGTGGTTTTGGTAGGTGCTGTGTATGCACCCCAAGGCTATTTGAAGTACTCGAATTGGTTTAGGGGTTTTCACAGAAGAAAGTTGTTGAATTGGTATTTGTCATTGAAGAGTTATTTCATGCTGTATGTTGGATGTGTGCTCTTTAAGAATCGAGTGATTGTGTCAAGCCCATGAATTTGTTTGGTATGTGTGGTTTTAGGTGTTGATGGTTATATCTGAAATTGTCTTTTTATACCCTCTATGATGCTCATCACTGTTCTTCCCTTACTATTTTTGGGTAATTTGAACACTAGGAGCAACGAATTTGACAAACCCCTTATTGGGAAGGGTTTTCAAATCTGTGAAGTAAGTGTTAGCTTAGAAATTCACGAGGATGTCAGATGAGCTTAAGTAACTCTCCCACCTGGTTTCATTTGTAAAATGCTTTTGCAGTCATCTATACTTCTATATCGAACTTCTGCTCATGCCTCAAGCTGAAATGTAATCGGCCCATTGTCTGGTCTTTGCTTGCTTCTCCGTGAGAGACAAAAATGGAATACCAACTTGCTAAAGGGCGAGTAAGAACTTGGGATTTTGCATGAATCACCGATGAGTGGATATTTCAGTTACCAATTTTATCATATTGGTCCTAATCTCTTACTGTCCGTCCCCTCCCTTCTAACAATTTTATTCTCAGCTGTTCGTCCCCTCCCTTCTAACAATCTTATTGTTCATCCCTTCCTTATTTTACCATATGAGTGCAGTCCCTTATGACTAAAACCACGTGAAAAAAGGCCTTTTTACCAAGCAGGTTGTTGATAACAAACTTGAAGCACCAAAGGAGGTTTTAGCAATTGAGTATAAGAAGGAAATCGAGGTGAAGGAAGAGGAACAACATGTTACATGTGCCATCACCTCCTCCTCCTGAGTCCTGAACCAGTGAAAGAGGAACAACCTCCCGTTGTTCCTCCACCTGATTTACTGGTGAGTCACCAAATTTCTTTTTCATCCATAATCATTCACTTATTATGTATTGGTTTCTGAACATAGCACAAACGTAGCACATCCTTTCTCCCAGGAGCATTTTGTATGTTAGTTTCTCACAAGGCACTGTCGCCTACTTCACCTCAAGTGGGGGAAAAAGAACAGAAACTAACATGAGCTGCTTGTGTCTCATAGATCTTTAGTTACCGAGCTTCCAAACTTAACTGTCGATGATGAATAGATGTCCCTCTACTTGGATTTCAATTTTGGTTGGGCCGAGTACTATTCAAACTCTGGTATCTCTTCTTGTAGGCGACCAACAACCTGCTGCCGCACCAACCCAAGCAAATGGAACTGGTTGGGAACTAGCATTGGTTACAGCTCCAAGTTCAAATGAAACTACCGCTGCTGCTAGCAAGCTGGTATATTTGCTTCTTCAGATTTTCGTTCTTACCATAAATTTCTGTAGTGTTACCTTGGGGTGGAGATGCTGTCGGTTTGGTTCAACTTGCATTGAACTGCGCAAAAACCCATATTCCGCACAGCAGGCTCGGTGCGGTTTGACCCGAACAGCAAATTATGTGGTCATGGTGTGAACATAGTTAATCGGTCTTAATATTGCCGTCAGGAACACCACCAGAGCACAGTGAATTGGTCTTGTTATTGCTGCACTTCGGTTCAAATGCCATTAAACTGCGCCGTTGCCCACACCTTAATGTTAGCTTTGCTGTTTCTTACCACTCCTTTTTTTTGTTGTAAAGGCGGGAGGGCTAGATATACTCACTTTGGACAGCCTATAAGACGATGCAATGAGAAGGAACAGTCAGCCTACAAGCTACAACCCCTGGGAAGCCGCACTCCAATGAACGGTCCAGTGATGCAAGCAGCCCCACACGATCCCTTCTTCGCCTCCAACGGAGTAGCTGCATCTCATGACGTTCAAATGGCAGCAATGTCCAACCAACAACAGGCTCTCATGTGGCCGCAGCAGCAAAAACAACAGATGATGATGATGACCACCCCACAATTTCAACAGCCGGCAAATCCTTTCGCTAACCCTTATGGAGCTGCTGTAGTCCACCCCTACGGCTCAGGTATGCTGCCTCCCCGTTCAAGTGTACCAACCGTATCCAGGATACGTATGAGTTGGAGGCAATGCCTGCTTTTTGTATAAAGAATGCGCACAGGGAAGAAAGAGCATCATCATCATCATTCACCCACAGAACAAATTCCTTCTGTTTTTGCTTCTTCACAGACCATCCTGAGTCGTGTCGTGTATCATATTGTTGTGTAATGTGCAGTAGCGCGAGTCATGCGTTAGATTCGATGTTTCTTCTGATTATTTTTATGGCTAAACGATGATTAGAAATAATGTTCTTTTCTTGTTCTTGAAGGTTACCGCAGACTCGAAATAAATGAGGTTGTTACATGCAATGGGGTTTTATATGTGTCGTATGTTAGAGCACAAGACAGAGATTGTGGGTTGTATAAACCTTTGATTGCTGGTTTTAATCCTTTCTGCGTTGATATACCACCCAATCCTATCGATGTTTCCCTGATCTCTGGGAAACTGTGGTGGGATGTTTCAGTTTCGCAAGGAGCCCTGCACTTGATTGTGTTCGAGAAGGGCACTAAACCTGCTTGCTTGAGGATTTTCTTGAGTGTTTGGAGACTTAACGAAGACTGTAAATTTTGGAGGAAGGTGTGCGAAGGTCCAGTGAAGTCATCATCAAGTTCATTCATGTTCCTATTCTGCACCCAGAGAAGCCTGAAACTATCTTCTTTGTTCATCTTGTTGGTCATTCTCACGTGTCCTGTGATCTGAGTAAGGGTGGCCAGCTTAAGTTTGTCGCTAAACTAACTCAAACTTTTAGTAGTTGGAGGGTGTTCCAGCCTAAGGTCTCTTGCTGGCCTACTCCAATCCCAAGGGTACAGGAAGTTGCGAGTTGGGTACGATGGAAGCTACAGCTGTTGGGTTCAGAGCGACAACCTATAACTGGTACTGACTGCTTGTGAGAATTTACCTTTTTTGCGTATCTGCTAGCGATGAACCTATAACTTGCTGGTTAGGATCCTGTAACTGGATTTTCTTCTTAATATGAATAAGTAGGAGCAAGTAGTTAGGATGCAGAAGTATGTTCAAACATAGAACTCTATTGTAGAAAAGCAAAGTTAGAAACAATGTTAGTAAGCGAAGTGGGTTTTGGGGTTTAATAATTATGGAGTAAGGATTGCTAGTATATATTTTGAAGGAGTTACTTAAAAATTGCTTTTTTTGTTTTGTTTTGTTTCAACTTGTAAGCAGACATTGTTTTAAGTGCCTCTACTGTTTAAGCTTAAACAAAAAAACACCTCTTGTTCTAATTGCTTGAGAATTCAAGATAGATGCAGATAGTTACAGAGAGACGTCGTGCTATATTCGTTCTCCATATATATTGTTGTGGCCTGGTATCTGATCATATCTTTATCTCGCTGCTCATATCCATGTTGTGGTTGGTTTGATTTTTCTGAACCTAATAGAAGAATGGCAACGTGTTGATGGAGTTGAACAATCTTGTCACCGGAAGAAGCTGAAAAACATGGTGAGAGGCTCGTCTCAGCGAGTGAAGGAAGGATGATGGGGCTGGAAGGAAGTTATTATCTATCTATTTTTTGGGTGTTATCTATCAGTTAACAAGAACAGGAGCTAATCAATTGGTATAGTGAACTTTGGGAGTTGAACAATCTTACTGTTCTCCCCCCTCCTTTCTGACAATTTTGTTCTCAGATGATTGGATATGAGGTGAACTTTGCAAGGAGAACTTGCAGCTTCCAAGTGAGTACCCTGAATCTCTTTCTATACAATTTTATTACAACTGGCTAATGAACCAGATGATGAAGGCTTATATTGTTTGTTCTTTGATGAACAGAAGAAAATATGGACAAGAAGCCTCGCCATAGTGGAGCTCAAATTTCTGACACCATCTCTTACTGCCAGTGCCGGGTTATACAAACAACTGCGCTGGTTGCTGCTGAATAGAATCTCTCGACGAGCTCAAAAGAAAGAAACAAAGAAGAAATGTATGCTAAAGGTCATCTTCTTCAGCCTTCTCTCCCTCTCTGAGGATCATATTGAGGGAAATAGTTGAGATAGGTTGGCTTGTACTTTGAAAGTGTGCTGACGGCTGACCTATATGATCAACAGACGTTCCTCGTATCCATGAAACGGATCGTTATCTGCTATAGCGCCAGTCGATCATTTTGCATCGAAACGATTGGAAATATTGTTGGAGCATCATGTCCCATATGTGTTAGCAGGCGAGTTTCTTTTACAGTCATTTCTTTCTTTCTTTGGGTGAGCAATTGTAAATTTCCAGTTCCACAGTGGAAAGAACCCTAAACCCCCACCACCATATGTAAGATATGAGATTATCTATCAACCCCAGTTTTGTACAATGCAGAGATCAATCTTATACAAATTATCCTTTCGAACAAACGATGAACACTTGTATGACCAATCTTATACAAATGATCGTCAATAAAATTGTCTTCCCTACATATGGATGGATAATTAGGCGAATATATGTTTTGATTTGGTTTTAGGACGAGCCGATTCACTCTTCAGTGCTAAGTTCGACTTCCACCACTACGCAACCCCTCTACATAGAGGCTTTGGCGTCGTAGCCTTTTCGACGAAATCATCCTACAAAAATAGATTATGAAAATTAACTTTGACCTTTCCTAAAAATAAAAGAAAGAAATTTGCTTTCAATCCACCGAAAAAACGCAGAGTTTTCATCCTCTGATGCTGCATTTCCAACAACTATCGTCTTCACTCTTCCTAACTTCGAATCTCTTCTTCCTCATGGCTTTCACCATTTCTTGTACAAGCCGAGTTGGCTTGCATGTGTTACAAGTTACAACCAATTGCGATTTCATACACAGCTATTAACTTTTGAGACGAAAATATTAAAATTCGTGATTGCTAATTAAAAAAAACTCACTTAACAACGGCATAGGATTTCTCTTTTGGGAGGGACTAGTAGAAGGTTAAAATCCAAATCCGTTCCTAAACAAGAAAATCATGGATTGATTACATTAATTAATTACTTAATTAGGATAAAGCGAGGGAAATAAATAAATAATATAAAAGCAAAAAACAAAATCTCGGAAAATCGAACACTCCTAGAACAAGTTAAAAATCGTAACCCCGAAAGGGCAAAACGAAACCAAACAGTTCCCCTTCCCTTTCTCCGTCTCCTTCACGCCTTCCTTCTTCGATTCTCCGATCGTTTGGTTTCTCTCAGGCGGTTGTTCTTCGATAGAGGAGAAGAAAGGAAGCAAGCGGAGGTAGCTAGACCGAAGCCATGTCCAGCCTCTCCAAGCCGCCGCAGTCCGGCGACGATCATCCTTCTCCGGAGCCGGAGTTGCCGCGGCTGGCTGAAAGCGCTTCATCCGGCGGAGTTACTGTCCCGGTAATCATCGGCCGTCAGTTGAGCGGTGGTGCTGATGATTCTCTTGCTGTACCGCCACCGCCGCAATCGCCGACTACTGAAACCACTCCTCCGGTGGTTGATTCTTCTCCTTCGCCGCCTGCTCCGCAGGGTTTGGCTGGGGTGCGCAAGGATCTCGCCGAGATTAAGGGGAGCTTGAAGGCTGGTTTGTCTCTGCTCTCGCGGACGGGGATTTCGAAATTAACCGCCAATTTCTTCCATGAGAGGATAGACGAAGACGAAGAGGAAGAGGAGGAGGAGGAAGGTGGCGGTGATGATGATGAGGAAGAGGATTACGTGCCTGGGATCACGGATGAGGTCGTTGAGTTCGCTAATAAGATTTCTGCTAGGTCCGCTTGCTGGACCGACTTTCCGTTGGCGCTCGAAGCTGGTAAAAATCCTGCTCTGCCTCGTTTAACTTTCTTGTTTCGTTTCCATCTTTATTGCCGCTTGATTGATAGGTTTAGGGTTGATGATTTTTTTTGGCCTTGGAAGAGCAATCATGTTAGGAGAACTTAATTGGTAGTTCCAGTAGCTAGAATGCTAGTGTTTGTAGACAGTTTCAGAATTTGGCTGGTATTTGGAGCACCATGAATGGCTTTTCTTGGATGTTCTTAGCTATGATTTTGGACTGAAGGATAACTAGAGTGCAAGCTTTGATTTGGTGGTGCTAACTTATTTTGCAGACTTCAAGTTCTCTGATGCTCAGAGGGAGCATGCTGCAACTATTGAGTACATGGTTCCGAGTTTGAGAGCTCTGAGAGTTAGCCTCCATGGTTTCATGAGGTCTGAGCAGTTCTGGATGGTGTATTTCATTCTGCTGCTTCCGAGGCTGGATGAGTATGATAGGGAGCTTCTCTCTTCTCCCCAGGTAAGCTTTCAGTTTGTATCCCGCTTATTTCATGAGCTTTTGTGTGTAGATAAAGGTAAAAGGAATCGTTTTTTTTCTTCTTCTGCTGTTTGCTATGATATGCAACAAGCAAAGTGGTAAATGAGCTGTGTAGTTAGTTTAGTACTAAGAAGCTGAACCTTGATATGGTCCTTGAAATTTGTTAATTTTACATGCAGAACGACTTCTGTTACAAGTTGATGTCAGTTGTTTCAAAAAGAGTGGGTTTTGGAGTTTATAGTAAGCAAAATATGTTGGAATAATGAGCATATTCTGTAGCAAGTCATCCCAGGTCAATATGTTAACTTGAAGAGGGTTTGACAGGTCTGAACTGAAGTTAGGAAAATAATGAGTTCTGTTGCATCGTCATCCATCATATAATCGATTCAACTGGTGGAAAGAGAGAAGATGAATATGGTTTGTTCCGTCTCGCTTGGCCATGGCGTTGTGTTGTTAAGCAAGTCACCTAAATTCTAAGGGGACAATACATAAAGACATAATACTTTTGGGTTTTGGCATTTTTATGAAACTTGAGACCAAATCCTTCATACCTGTGTAGTCGATGTCTATTATTTATGACTTCAATTCTAGTTGTTGCTACTTTCCTGGTGTCAATTTTCGACCTTTTCACATTCGAACTTCAAGTTCCTAATGTTCGCATTGTTCAGACTACTTAGCCCCTATCAGCACATACGAGCTGCATCTTCTCTAACAAAACTCCTGAACTTGCTTCGCAGGTTGTTAATACCCGAAACAGGCTTCTCCAGAAGCTCCAAGCCAGCAAGAACGAGAAGGCGGAAACCTCTGAAGATGCATCTCAGGATAGCAGCAGCACCAGAGACGAACCGAACCTCGAGCCACGCCCACAACCTTCAGATCCTGGCGTCAGTGTCGGTACCTCCTCCACGAGCCGCAAGAAGAAGCATGCTGATGAGCTTTCTTACTTCTCGTTCAGCGACCTGGACGACGATGACAGCGTCTTTTCAGGCAGGCTCTCGACCTGCAGCCGGTCTCGCGGGCTGAGAGATCCGTCGCCTGGAGGATCTTCTACCGAATGGGTCCAGCTGAACCGTGGGTACGACTCTCGAGGTGGATCCATCAGGTCGAGGCAATCGATCTCTCGTGAGAAGGACTCGGATGCAGATTCCACCGCCAGCGAATGGCTGAAAGTTTACGAGTCTGATTAAATAATAAAAAAGAAAATGGTTGCCTTGCTCCAAAATTGTCAATATTTATACTGTAAATCTGTTGCTTTATTGTTCGTTTTTCTTCTGGTTCTTTTGCAGTCTCTCTCTGCATGTCGCTTTGTAAATTATGGAGTCACGAAACATGTGTCTTCTTCTTTGTTTCCTTGTTGGTTGGCGTCTACTAGTTGATGAATTGTAAGAATGTGGTCGTGATCGTAAGAACTTCAGGCACAAGTTAACAGAGATCCTCAGTATGGGCCGGGCCCATCATTATCCTGAATTCGCAGCACTTTTAGGGCCGAGATGGCTCACGGGGCTTAACTGGGGATGACAATTTCGACCTGACCTGTTTTACCCGATCTGTTTGACCTGTTTTTGGGCGGGTCCGACCCGCCCCGTAGGCGAGGCGAGGCGGGCATGGGTAGTCTCATCGACCCAACCTGGCCTGACCCGTTCTTGTCTAAATTACATGAAATCTTAGTCAAATTACTTTGAATTTTCCTTTTATTGCATCATATTTTAGCTATAATAAAGTTGTAAATTAGTGAAAACCTCAATTTCTCCAATAATTTAACTACAAATGTCATAATATTGTTTGTTTTCTTAGTTTTATAATAAAAATAACGAATATTTCTAATGTTTTCCATATAAATTGCATACCCATTGGGTCGACCTGCTCCGACCCGCGACCCGTGATCAAATACCCGCCCCGGACCTGCCCCATTGCCATTCCTAGGCTTAACTTGATCAGTATTGGGCGGCTTTAGCTCCTCGTCACATATATGACGAAAATTGTCAAACCTCCAACTGGAACTACTTGAACATCAGTAGATGAGTCAAGTTTTGAACGAGTTTTATTCGAGCCGAGTATCGAACCGCTCGAGTCGTAGTAGCAGACAACTGTATTATTATATATTGAATCGGAGAGGGGTGAAGGGTGGTCGTGAATGGTGATCATGGAATTCTTCCTGGAATCTTTTTCATGGTATATAGGAGATTGATATAAGATCAATAATTGAGCTTCTCCCGCAACAAGTCAAATTATTGAGACAAAATGGTTTACGACATAGTAGCAGAGTTGGTTTTGGCCAAGTGGTCGCGTATATTTGAACCTTCGTGACTCCCAATATTAACCATTGGTTTAAGCACAAAGTTAAGTATGATGAAGCCGTGTCAATCTTCAATCCCGTGAGGTGGCTAGTGGTTGAGGACATCTTTTTTTCTTTTCTTTCAAGGAGGTAACGTGAGATTCGACTTCCCATCCCTAACTCCCCTTCCTCCTTTCACTCTCTATCTCGCCAAACCATACGATATAGGTTCTCGATGAACAGGATGTTTCTCGATTCAAGTTTTTGTGACACCTTACTTACTCCTCCTAGCAATGTAACAATAATCATAGCTTCTTAGCTTCTGAAAAAGAATCACGACCTCATTGTATATTGATCAGTAAATCATATCTCGAGATATTCTCTGATCATACCAATCAATCTTATGATCTTGCACATGGCAATGCCCATGGTCTTTTCGATATCTCTATATGGTGCCACATGAAAACCCTAAATCTACAATAATTCAGCACCAAACCCTTCTGTATCCACCTCATTATGTCTCGCCATTTTTATAAAGCTACATCTCCATAGACATGCACTGATAGGTCTCCTTTCATGTGGACCTGACTATATCGATGTACACATCTATCCATGTATAATTTTCATCTTCAAGATCGATTATTAGATTGTAAAAGCATTATAGCAGAGTGGGAAGAAAAGCAAACAGATTTACTCAAATCCAGCTTAAAATACTTTAAAGATAACGACTTTTTTTTCTTCTTCTCTCTACCAACCGGCGGGTAACCAACTGGGGTATAGTGTATAGGTGTGTTCTTATCTAACAACTAACAAGTAAGTTTCTATCTTGATGGATGTGGTGTGGTGTGGTGTGATATTCGTACATATGTTAATGAGTGATACAAGATTTGGGTTTTAACCTCTCAACAATAACTCGGGGTTGGTACTAATTGGTCTTTAACATGCTAGATGATTTTTAGCCGAATGGTGGAGAGTTTCGGATCTTGATAATCTTCAATGTTAATGTTTAATTGATGTGCTAAGGCATGATGGGCTTAAACAATTTAAGCTTAAGGTCGACAGAGGAGGATTTCATTATTGCTTGATCGTTGAGATCGTGCGCTACCTGCTCTTTTCTCCGGTTAAACAAAATAGAGTAGGTTTTCGAGTAAAAATCTGAGCTCACTTGGTGCTTTCGGGAAACTAGCTAATCAGACGTAAGCCCCCTACTCAGACGGATTCCTCCTTTTGCTCCCCAGCCTACAGAATATTAGCAGTCGTTTCCAACTGTTGTTTCCCTCCCAAGGGCAAGTTCTTACGCAATCTTTCTCTTTCTGGCCGTAGTCTCAGGTGGCAAAGCGTTTGACTTAGGGTTGAATTTCTTCATTCCTTGTACAAGCATGGCAACTTCAGCAAGATTGGTGTGCTTTAATATGAGGGGTTGATATAGATATGGATCTTATAGCTTCTTTCAACAGCTCGTGTTATTGAAAAAGAACTGGTTTCTAAAGAATGATTGCTAATTTAGCTCATAAAATATAACGAATATAGTTTTTCTGGGAAAAGAGTAGAAGCATTACCCTTACCAATGCCATTAGATAAGTATGTATTTTTGTCCATCAAATGAATATCAAACTCTAGAAGTTGTGTCAAAGGAGCCAAGATGATCAATTAGCTACAAAATTATTATCGTGACAGATAAAACACACGTAAATTTTATTAAAGAACGTCTCGACATAGATGAAACTCATGCAAACCAATGACAAGTCTAAGAGTTGAAAAAATTATATTTGTACAAGAAGAAGAAAAGATAGGAACCTATTATTGCTAAAAGATAAACAAAGATAGTGGCCTACTCTTTCTTAGTGGGGGAGTAGTACTTTTTTTTTTTTTTTTTTTTTGACAAAAGATAATCATATATTGATAGAACCAAATCGATAGTTACATCCTGGAGTTCAGCCAGGCCTGAAAGTCAAAATAACGACATGTAGCCGGGGACAAAGACAGGGCTTGTCTAGCTACACTATGAGCTACCCTATTGCTACCCCGACCTACAAATCGAACACTGAAACCCGGATACATCGAAAACACCTGAATAATCTCCTCTAGAATAGACCCAACTCGACTATCCCGACCATCAGCCTGACACAGTCTCTCAATTACCACCTTGGCGTCCCCTTCAAACCGTACCGACACCAAACCCTGCGTTAAACACCAGCAGATAGCCTCGCGAAGGGTAAGGACTTCTGCCACCATTGGGTCATCCAACCACGGGAAATGAACACCAGCAGCCCAAAGGATCTCCCCTCCCTCATTATAGAGCACAAAACCTCCAGCGGAGTGAGACCCTGACCGGACTGCTCCATCCCAGCGGCACACAATTTCCCCCGCCGATCCCAAACCCAGTGCACCAGCGCTCGGGAGGGACAGAGGAAGGCGCTGGGGATCCCTTGGTAAACTCAACCACTCCCCTACCTGCTGATGATATTGTCGCATCAGGGGAAGGATGCCAAACTGCTTCCCCTCAAATACCACCCAATTCCGGGACCGCCAAATCCTCCAAAGGATAGCAATAACCCCCATGAACTGCGATGGTTGCTGCACAATAGCCAGCAACTTCTTAAGGAAAAGAGGGAAAGTGTGCCGGGGCAAACCTTCACCAAGGTGATCAAGACCAGACTGAGTCCACAAAGCCCTGGCCACCGGGCAATCAAGGAAAAGGTGCTCCATCGTTTCCGAAGGCGCCCAACACACAGGACACCGGGGCAGAACATCAATTTTTCGCTCAATTAGCGCCTCAGTAGTCGGGAGAATTCTGTTCAAGATTTGCCAGGCAAAAATCTTCAATTTAGGAGGGATGTTGGCATCCCAAATTCGGATCCAACTAGCTTTGTCCATCCAGCTAACCTGCGATCGCCACCGCCCTTGCAACTGATCGTAACGGACTGCCAAGTGATAAGCCGACTTTACAGAAAAGAGACCATCAACAGTAGCATGCCAGATCAGTCGATCTTCGACGTTTCTCCTTGGTAATGGCATCGCCAGTATAGCTTGGCATGTCGGGGGATCAAACCACTGCTTAAGCTTCTCCTCACACCACCGACCTTCCCCAGGGCAAATGACTGAAGAGACTTTTAAATCAACTCCCTCAGGCAGTACCATAGGATTATAGACCGGGGGTGAAGGGCACTGCTGCAAAATCCAGTTGGAATCCAATAAGGGCGCCCTCTGCCCATTTCCAATCTGCCATCGTAGCCCCTTCGACAACAACTGCCGCCCATAAAGAATGCTTTGCCATCCCCAAGAAGGGCGGGAGCGTGCTGTGGCTTCAAGGAATGAACCTTGAGGGTAATATTTCCCTTTATACACCTGGGCTAAGAGGGACTGGGGTTCACTTAGGATTCGCCACCCAATTTTCGCTAAGAGAGCCTGATTAAAATGCTCAAATCGCCGAAACCCCATACCCCCCTCATGCTTGCTCTTGCACATGTTTCGCCAGGAAACCCATCTGACCCTAGAGCATCCCTCCTCCACCCAGTGGGGGGGGGGGGGGGGGGGGGAGTAGTACCACTTCAACTTTTATCACTCAAAAGAGATGGAGTTTGTATAAAAAGACTATTTGGCAGATTTCTATTGTCATCAAATGGCTGATATTTGGTCCAAAAAGGAAGTAAACTTAAAAGTGCCTAAAAGGATAAAAAAAAAGGAGACACCTTAACCTCATTGCTTCAATTAGGCAAAATGCCCTTTAATATTTTGGCGATTGATAAGCTTTTTTGCTTTGGATCCCTTGGATTGAGGGTATGACTTATTGTGAATATAGAAGGTATGTACTTACTGTAGGGTAGCATGGACTTGTATAATTTGGACCCTACGTACATCTTCTTTTTCCCAAACAACACACTAATTGGTTAGATCAGCATAGTCATTGACTTATTGTAATACCCCATATGTCTAATTTACATCGAGTTCAATTTCCATCAATAAATTGGCCATCGAGTATTCTCAGTTACGAAATGCGGATATGAATTTATCGATGGGGGAAATTCTCAGCTTTGCAAGTTCAACATTTGTCTTCTTCAACCTTCTACACTTTAACTGTTAAGCAGATGATGTGGGTACTAATTATGTTCCAAACGGATCTATTCTTGTCGATGAGTGAATTCATATTTCGAATCTCATTTGCTCGTACTCCAACTAAACCTAAGTTATGGAAAAAAAAATTTGTTCATGAATGAGAATGAGGGATACATGTAGCCA